AAAAAAAAAAAAAAAAATTAACTGGGCATGGTGCTGCACACCTGTTAATCCCAGCTATTTGGGAGGCTGAGGCAAGAGAATTGCTTGAACCCGAGAGGCGGAGGTTGCAGTGAGCTAAGATCTCACCACTGCACTCCAGCCTGGGTGACAGAGTGAGACTCTGTCTTGGAAAAAATAAAAAAAGAGCTGTGCTCCTCGGCGGGGTGCGGTGGCTCATGCCTGTAATTGCAGCAGTTTGGGAGGCCAAGGTGGGTGGGTCCCCTGAGGTGAGGAGTTCAAGACCAGCCTGGCCAATATGGCGAATCCCCGTCTCTACTAAAAATACAAAGATTAGCCAGGCATGGTGCCAGGTGCCTGTTTTCCCAGCTACTGGGGAGGCCAAGGCAGGAGAATCGCTTGAACCTGGGAGGTGGAGGTTGCAGTGAGCCACGATCGCACCATTGCACTCCAGCCTGGGCAACAGCGAGACTCTGCCACACACACACACAGAGACACGAGCTGTGCTCCAGTCAGACTGGCCTTGAGTCCCAGCCCTGCCACCCAGTATGTCAACTCCCTGTATTTCCTCATGTACAAAACAAGGGTGTAACAATTGAGCCAGTCACATAGGGCTGTTGTGAGGACTGACTGAGTTAATACAGGCAAAGCACTTACAACCCTACCGTTACACAGTAAGAGCCTAGTAAACATGAACTGTTAGGACTGTAACGTTCCTTAGCATTGTGTTGAAACAAGGGGAGGTTAAAAAAAGGCGGGGGGCGGGGGGAGAAGGCCGTGGCCAAGCATGCGGGCTCACACTGGTAATTCCAGCACCTTGGGAGGCCAAAGTGGATGGATCACTTGAGGCCAGGAGTTCATGACCAACGTAGGCAACATAGTGAGACCCTGTCTCTACAAAAAATTTTAAAAATTAGCAGGGTGTGATGGTGCGTGCCTGTAGTCCCAGCTACTGGAGAGTCCTAGGCTGCAGTGAGCTATAATTGTGCCACCACACTCCAGCCTGAGCCAGAGTGAGATCCTGTCTCCAAAAAAAGGGCTCTTTTCAGGCCGGTGTGGTGGCTGATGCCTCTAATCCCACCACTTTGGGAGGCTGAGGCGGGCAGATACCTGAGGTCAGGAGTTTGAGACCAGCCTG